TGTAGTGTTATACATATTTATTATTTGCTTTTTGAGCGTTTTCGGAAAGTTCTCAAATGGGTATAATAATATTTTCAATAACATTCGACCAGTGAATTAAAATTTTCTGGACAGAAATCAGCATGTAGTACCATTTGTACAGTTCTACGCATCTTTCTGCAATTTCTAAGCAATATTTTCTAAATTCTTCGGTTTTTATCTCATACCCATTATTAGTTGATCTCAAAATCACACTGAATCTTTTAATAAGATTCTCATCTATGCTGTTTGTTTTTTATGAAAGTTCTGCATTTGCGAAGAATTTTTCGGCAGCATTGTCGTCATTTGTGATTCTACACTCAATTTTGGCACATCAACTATTATACCCATGACTTTTCGAAACTTTCCTTAAATACTTTCCTTCCTTTCCTCAAATATTGGTTTGCTATTTTTTGGAAAAAAAATCTTCCACATCTTCGTATTCAATCTGTAGGAAATATGAAGGAGATATTCGAAAAATCGAATGTAGGAATGAAGAACAGATAAACCGAATCTATATGTTTCTCAGTGAACCGGTCTTTCTTCCATCGATTTGATTGTGTTCATATCCGAAATTGTAGTCTTGTAATCACCGCGTTTTAAAATACCGCCACTCCGATCATAATACAAACAAAAACAATTCTTACTTAATATCGAAAAATAACGGCTGTCAATAGCTTTTAGTGTTTTAACTACATATTTATTATATTATAACATTTGCGTCCACAAGTCTCGGCAAAAAATTCCTTCACATATCAATTTAATTGGTTCCACCAAGTGCTCTCACATAAAATTTATCGTAGCAACCGTTTCATAATCGTCACTAAATAAAAAAAGACGATAAAAAATAAGGATTCCTTTAACGATATTTTTCAAAGGTTATGTCGAGGTTATTTATGTTCAACGATGTGTTGCATTTCTTTGTTTTGTTAATGTTCTTACACAACTAAAGAACCTCTTATTTTTTGTCTACATCATGTATGAGTAATAACTTAATTGCCTGCAAAGAATGGAAGCGAAAGCATCATATAGTACAAGGTCATTGTATTGGGTTGGCAACTAAGTAATTGCCGATTTGTTCAATGAAATAAAAATTTTTTTTTACTTGAAATGAAGTTTAAGCTGTAATATATTTTCCATTTTGTTCGATGACCTTTTGCCATCTCTCTGACAACTTGAAAATTCCACGCTCGTAGAAAGTCTGATCCTTTTCGGCCAAAAATTGAGTTAAGTGAGATTTTACAGCGTCATCATCATTAAAAGTTTTACCACGAAAGGAGTTGTCCAGGGATCGAAATAAGTGGTAATCCGATGGCGCGAGATCAGAGCTATATGGTGGGTGTAACATCAATTCCCAACCAATATCCATCAATTTTTGCCGAGTGGACAAAGACGTGTGCGGCCTAGGATTGTCCTGGTGGAAAATGACACCTTTACGATTGACCAATTCTGGTCCCTTTTCCTTGACCGCTGCATTCAATTTGTACAGTTGTTAACATTCACGAATAATAAAAAATAACATAATAATAATAATAATAATAATGATAATTTTATAATATAACATTTACGGATATCATAAAAATGGGAGTGAGA